TTGTCTCAGAGTTGCCTGTTGTCTTTATGAAAATGCAAATGTCCTGTATCTAGGGTGCTTAATGGAATCATGTGGGCTCCAGTAGTTGCGGGCCGCCCTGACTTTCCAGGGATACTGCCTATACCATAATATCCCATCTTTTAGGCTGTTGTCTCTCCCATGATTGTAACTTTGCTTGGTAGGCAACAGCAACATCCTAACTAGGTCTCCATAAACACTTAATCTTCACCTTCACATCTTCACAGTGTCCTCTTGGGGACTTCCTTCTTGGCATCTGACCTTGCCATACATTGTGGGGCTTTAAGGGTTTCCTGGAATCCTTTGTGATGTCCTTACTTTTGCATGTTTCATGCCTGCACAACTGTATCAAGTGGTGCATGCAACCAAGCCCTGTTGTTGGCTCTGGACATAGCTTGGCCCCCTTGAAGCACAGTTTCATTTGCCTCTGTGTGTAGACCCTGGTAAAACATTTTTCTAGGTGATTGTTTTTGAACAAGGAGTCCCTTCCGTGACATTGTCAGCCTAAGACCATTCCTTCAAAATAAACGTGAGTTTTCACAAGTTGGTCTTACTGCCAGGGGGCTTTCCTACTGTTAGGTTTCTTGGTAATGGAACTAAAAGCCCTTAACAGTCATAGTTGCGTTCCCACCACCTTGCTGCAACTCAAACCTTTCCTGCCAGGCTGTTTTCCCTGCCAAGCCGCAGCTTTCATAGCTTTTTGCTCTACTTGCCACCCTCTTTTACTACAGACCTGGACAAGAGCAATTAACAGTAACCACGACATGCCCTGAACACTATCCTGTCTTGAAAAGCCCTCTGCCAAAAAAAAAAAAAACCAAAAAATTAGTTCATTAGAGTTTAGCCACAGCCAAGTCCTCAGGACACTGGCAGAGTGTGATTCTCTGCTAGTATACAACAGCAATGCTGTCTAGCATCGTTCTTGGTAAGAGTCTTTGCTCACCTCTGAAACCCTCTAACCATTTGGAGTGGATGGCGTTCTTCTGAACTCCCACCAGAAGGACCAGCAAGCATCGCTTGCAACATTGTAGAGCTTCTGTAGCTCACACCTCCAAACTCTTTCTCGTTCCTCCCACACATCTGCTCCAAATGCTCAGAGCTACGTGGACATGGTCGAGTTTGCACAGCAACCGCCTTAATTCTTGGTACTAATTTTCTGTATTTCATTTGTGGAAGGAGTACTGACTTCTTGTTTGAAGATTACTTATTTAAGTGGAAGTATATGTGCAGGTGCCATCAGAGGCCAGAGGGTGTTGCATGCCCCCCAACTTCAGATTGGGGCAATTTAAGTTGTCTGATGTGGGTGCCGGGAAACAGACTTGGGTTCTCTGAGAGAGAGAAGCAAGTGCTTTAACTGCTGAGCCTGTTCTCCAGCCCTCAACCTTTTGTTTAAAAAAAAAAAAAAAAAAACTAGTCCATGAGGTTGAAACAGGCTACAGCAAGCTCAGAATGGTCTTTGTGGGTTGTGATTGCAATCTTCACACGGACACTTAGAGCTTTCCCATGACATCACCTTATGGCTCGGCTACTCTGCTATGTGAGTATTCACTAAACCAAAGGCCATAGACTAGGTAGCTTAACTAGTTTATTTTCCACAGTTCTGGAGGCTGGGAATCACAGAGAAGGGCGGCATCAGGCTCCATGTTTGCTCAGGGTCCTTTGCTGGGTTGCAGATCAGCACCTTGTTGCTGTATTTTACACAGATGAGAGACCATCTCCCTCGACTTTTCTAATAACGGCATCAGTCCCAATCACAGGTGTTCCACTGTCAGGACCCCCTACTAATTCGGGAGAATGCATCAATTTGGAGAGATACAGAGTCAGTACACAGCATGGTTTATGCTGAGGTTGTTTTTGGGCCAGTTGTATGTATTTAAAGTCAGATCCATGGCTTCCACTGGACCAGGTGGAAAATGGCAAAAAAGATGAAGTTTACATATGCTGATTTTTCTCGGATTTTACAGCTGTTATAACTGTCTGTTATTTAATCTGGCTGAAAACTGGGAATGAGTCACAAGAACCCTGTAACTGTGTTTGGGTGAGGAGCAGTGAGCAGTCAGGGAACTGTGGTGGCAGGACATTTTCAATGCACACATTTCATATGGTGAGCGTTTTGAGCCACATGAATACATCACAGTTGTCAAAGGAGGAAAATATATGCGATGTTCTATCAAAGGGCTCCTTTACCAGTCCCTTTTGCTTGTTTCTTAGAAGAGATATTTACAAGGTAGCAACTTTCTTCTGTCCTCAAAAAAAAAAAAATCCATATGTAAACGTGACAGGAATAAAAACTCGCACCTTCTGTTATTTACAGATCCAGATTCCATTCTGAGTGCTGGAGGACCCAAGTGTTAAGGCAATGAAATATATTCTCTACAGTAGGTAACATATGAAATACATAATGAAATATTAAAATTCGCAGATAATGAAGCTGAAGCCTAGAGGCTAATAGCCCATTGTAATTAAATGTTCACTTTGACTAACGCAGTTACATTGGGGCTAGAACGCAGACACTTGAGCTGTAAGAGCAGACAGGATGTACAATCTATTGTAAGATGATGGGGAAAGAGAAGAATAGCTATGAGGAAGTAGAGGTGTGGGCTTTTTAGATTGCTCGGGGTGAATGGACAACCGACAGACTGTCACCGGAGCAGTTTTATCAGTTATGGTGACAGACATTACCAGAAACAATCATAGAACCAACTATAAGTGTTGTCTAGGTATTTCCTTCAGAAAGCATTTCCTTGGAAAAAAGCTGGGAAGGGGGGAAGGGGGGGGGTCATGAGAAAGCTACAGGAACTCAACAAAGTTAAAAGACATGCGTTGCCTTCCCGAGGTTACCTAAGCAGTAAACCCCTGCTAGAGGAAAAGATTCACACTAGGGGTGGCAATGGCAGAAGAAGAAGCAGAACTGAGTGGCCGGTGGGCTGAGCTGCAAAAGCAGCCAAGGGAGCAGCTGCCTTGACAGTTACAAAAGAGGCAGAGCTCCAGGCTGTGACAGGTGGACCTGGCGGCAGCAGCTGAGCAGGCCTCCTGACAAATACCTAGAGATACACAAACTGCCAGAGAACAGTTCTTGAAGAGCGGCTCCTTGCTTACCCGCCATTCCTATCACAGTACAGCAGAAGGGCTACAGCATTTTTAAATAACACTGTAATTATAAAGACTCCAATAGCCTAAAGCTTATCATAGGAGAGTTGAATGAAATGCTCTGAGACTTGGCTATAAGCCTGTCACTAAATGTTCATATTCCCTAATAATGTCAAATCCCTTTGCAACATCATTAGGTAACTTCCCATTCTGAACTTTAATGCTACGGAGGGACTGGTGAGTGGCTGCTCCAAAGAAAATAAAAAGAATATAATTAGAAAAGAAGCCTCTTTACATCACTTAATTCCTCAAAATCAGTTTCTCTCTACATAAAATACAATTAGAATGTTAAAGCTTCACTTGTGTCTGATAACCTATAATCTCTGAAGTAACAGATTTAATTCAGCTGACAAACTCTAAATTCCAGTGGGTTTTAATTCAATCCCTATTAGTGATCCTCCAATTTCATTTTTCTATATTGTGGGATCAAAAGAAAAGTATACATAAATATAAAACTGCATATGCAGTATTGTCATTTTTAAATTGCTCACCAAGAACAATACTTAGACCACTTGACTCTTCAGCAAATACACCTGATCGCTTTAGCAATGGTTTTTTTCTCACTTCCCTCTTTGAAACTTTATCAGCAGAGCGTTTGAAAAAAAGATGGAGTCGGATGAAGGGAATGGGATGACGAGCGTGTTTTGCAAACACTTAAATTTTTATTTTTCAAATTAAAACGTTTAAACTTCAAGGAAGAGTGCCATCAGCGTAATTGGCCTTACGATGCTTCTGAGGCTGACCTTGGATTTCAAGGACAGGGAGAAGGGGTCTTCTAGTTTAAGTACCGGGTGTGTGGTAAGACAGTTGTAGATGAAAGGAAGAACTAGAGCCAACCTTGGCCAGGAAGATTCCGACACCTGCCGGGCCTTGCTTGCGTCAGTACGTGATTTCAGATCCTGCAGCCACGGGAGATCAAGTTCTTACTGCCCGCAGGAAGGCTAGTTAAAATGATAAAGAGGATCTATTTCTGTTTTAGTGGATTTAGCAAAGGAAAAGACTTAACCAGGTCACTGGACTCGCTCTCAGAAAAGCCCGCAAATAAAAACACCCCAACATTGGCATTTCCGAAACCTTTGCAAAAAGTTGCTCGCAGACGCCCTCACGGAGAGGGCGGAATCTGGGGTCTCAAAGCACCGTCTCAAAAAACAAAAACAAAAACCAACAAAAAAACAACCTGACAGCTTCCCCGTTCCACGCGCAGCGCTCTCACGCTGGCCCAGCGCGCCGGCTCGGGGTCTCGGGGGCGCGCAGTCCGGCCGGGGGGGAGGGGCGTGGAAGCTGGGCCCTCGGAACACCCAATCAGCAGCCAGCCCCGGCGGTGGCGCCAGTGACGTCAGAGGCGCTCCCTCCGCCCCACTGCGGGCGGACGCCGGGAGCAGCCAGCCACCCGAGCTCTAGGCTGCGGCGGGGCGGTGCACGCGGAGCCGGGGCAGTGCGCGTGCGCAGCCGCTCACCCGGGAGAGGCGGGGCAGAGGGGCGGGCACGCGCATGCGCGCTCCCGGGGCCGTCGCGGGCGGAGGGGGCGGCTCCTCGAGTGTCGGCGACCCTAAGGCCGAGCGGCAGGCGGGCGGCAGGTGCCGCGGCCCGGCGCCGCTGCCTCATCGCGCGCCCCCGCGATGAGCCTCGTCCTCCGGCCTGCCCCTGCCGGCTGCCGGTCCGCGCGGGCCTCACGGCGTGACCTGAGCCTCGTGGCGTGGCGGGCCCCCGCGGCGCGACGCGGGCCCTGAGCGGGAGCGGCGGTGCCTCCCGCGGCCCAGGCCTCGCCCTCCCGCGCTCCTCGATGTCTCCCCGGCGGGGAGGACGCTGCCTGCGACACCCGCCGAGCGGCGCCCCCTGGAGCGCCCCGCTGCCGCCCCGCGGGGACGATGAGGGCGGAGGGCGCCGACCACTCGATGATCAACCTGTCGGTGCAGCAGGTCCTGAGTCTCTGGGCCCATGGCACGGTGCTGAGGAACCTCACGGGTAATGTGCGGGGCGGAGGGAGCGGTGGGGACCCACTCACTCCACGCGTGTTCTGGGCGTCCGAACCTTCGGCCCGGTGCCGGCCGCTGCCAGAGCACACGAGAGTCGCGTCAGTGTCCAGACTGGATTACAGTTCACGTTTGTGTCACTTAACCCCACCCCCACGCGCCCCGCATGCACACACGCGCGTGCACACACACACTCACACACACACACACTCTGCTACTTGCAGTTTCGATCATTTTTATTCTTTCTTTCCTGGTGTAGCTTATTTTCTTGCCGACAGATCGCAAACCAAATGCAGCAGTCCATTCCCTGCTCACGGTGATCTGTTTGCTTGGACCATTCCGTTTCTTTTTTGGAGATGACTAAGTAGATTATAGTGGGTCAGGGGCTGGACCCAGGTCTCGAGCAGTCAGAGCAGCTGTCTGTCTTCTCACCAATTCCCTTTTGTCTGTTTGTGTCTCCTGGCCTCAAGATGCTGCTTTTGTGACATTTGGGAATCCAGTGTACTTCCCTTCAGTAATCAGGTGTTTGGGAATTGAATTTCGCTACATTTATAGCATCAGTTTGTGGTTGTTGGAGGGAGGCTTTAGAACATAGAATATTTTCATTTAATCTGTAGGCTTGCTTTGGGAAGAAACTTTTGGTTTTCTTAATGTGGGAATGTTTACACTCTTGAGTTGTGTGTGTTTTAAATACCTTCTAAAGAGCAATACTGACAGGAAAGTGATAAACAGTTTGAGTCTGGGGCGTCTGCTTTTCTTAGGCAACAACCAGCCCCCCACCCCCCCAAAAAAACCCTCAGTTCTTTAAAATGTCTTAACTCCAAGTGAACATTAATATTTCAAATCTGTGATATCAAGTTAAAAGCACGTAGTATACATATGCATATGTTTATAGGTAAAATCTGGCACGGTACAGGGCTCACATGTTCGCAGAGGAAAACGTGATGGAATCGCGTAGCACAGGGCAATGTTCAGGGTACTTAATTCCTGAAACTACACAACTGGGGGAACTCTGGAGCCAGAAGAGTCTTCTTGGCTGCATGTTTATATAGTTCTGAAAAGTTAAAGCCACGTAAAGATCATTTCAAGATAGACTTCTTTATCTTACTTATGAATTTGTGTTTATCCATAGTTTCATATTTCCAAAGTCTGAATTGTTTACTAATGAGTAATGATATATTTAGTAAGAATATATATTACCTATATTAATAACTAGCTTGGCTCCTCAAGGTATTTTACAGAAAGTTGGTTCAGGGAGTCTTAAGAGTACGTGTAGATGTGTGGGTCTGTAGGCAAGATTTAGTGGTCTTTTAAAACATTGAAGGCTCTCATTATTATGATGGCTTTTCCGCTCCACAAGTCACCCATTTGATTAGTAATAGCAGGTAGCAATCCTAGAGAGATTCAGTTATCTCTGGTGTGAGCCTAATAATTGCTTATAGAAAATGACAGCTTGTGGTTCTGTGTGTCCTGCACACACGGGATCATAGCTGTGCGGCATGTCGCTTGAGGCTTAGTCAAGAGATGCAGTTTACTGTGCCACGTACAGCCTGGTCTGTTCGAAATGAGCAAGCAAGCACGGCTCCCAAGGCAATAAGCCCACCATTTATTGGATGTCTCCTATGGATTGCTCTCTCTGTATATAATTTCTAGTCTTAATAACTCTGCTATATACAAAGCAATTCAGGCAAATTAAACTACCCTAAGTTATAGGGAGCAAATGGGGCTTCAGTGAGAACCTGCTTACAGAATGCCTTCTCTTTGCGCTTCCCATAGCTCTGTATTAGCTTCATCAAGCAGTGTGAATTTCTTGCTTCATCCTTCTACTTCTGCTCCTTGTACCTACTTCTGTTTTTAATTGCATTAAATTTTTATCTCTTCTGGTTTGAGTGCTTTGAAAGCAAGGCCGCTGTCTTGATCATTTCTGAATTCTCATGTCGTAGCACACCAGAATCTGGCACACTGTGAGTGCTGAATCCACGTTTGTTGAAGTTAGACTGTGAAATAGTACCTAATGCCGGACTTAAACATGCTGCTGCATTGCATTTCATCTAGGTCTCTTGGAATAAATGTGTCATTAAAGTGTAATGAGGTGCTTAGGCGGTCTTTGTAGACAGTCGTCTCACACACTTGGAAGACACGCAAATGCATATTGAGCGCAGTTGGATTTAGTGCTTGGTACCCCGCTTCCATGTTCTTTATTTGATATTTTCAATAGTTTTGGGGAGATTATGTTTCTTTACAGATACAGATATTGAAGCAGAGAGTAAACTTCTGTTTGGTGCTGATACAGTTGTAATATGTACTGTTAATTCAGAAGGCGTATTTGGCATCATAGCAAACTTGTAAGTGAAGCATAATGAAAAGAAGCATAGTAGAAAGCCAGGGTATCTTGGATTATGGCTGAAGGAATTACAGAAATCTGGGTATTGGGAATTTGGGTTAGTTAAATACCAAATAAGAGGGAAGTAAGCTCTCATTTCTGTTCTTTGTTCAGACAAGCAATGTGATTTTACTCTTAGGACTTTGTCTAAGAGGCAGGAGCCTGACCTTTGGAAAGCAGTCTGATGTATGCATTGCTTTGACAGGAATAAACGTAAACTGAGAAGAACTAGAAGCGTCCTAACCTGAGAGTTTTAGAGTTTCTGAACTCCCCGTCTGTCTTAGCAGCCTGCCTTGAGAGATGTATAATGGCAGAGGCAGGGTGGGAGCCGCTCTGCAGTTCCCTGCTGTCCTTTCTGTGCCACATAGCTGCTTAACCCGGGCAGGTCTGAGAAGACGTAAATCTAATGATACTTACGATTAGCCTGGCACATACTTGTCGAAGCCAGAGAATATGGAAAGGTATCTCCAGTGGCTGGGCTTCATACATTCCAAGACACCTCCTCTACCCCTACCCTCCAGCCCACTTCACCTCTGCCCTCTCCCAGATTGCCTGAAACCACAGAGAGTATCTAATCCTTAACATGTGTGCTTATGATACAGTTTACTCTCTGTTAGGTGCAGTAAGATGCTTAACACAATAAAGCTGGAACAAATTTAACCATACACTGTCACTCCTGTGGCACTCCTGTTGCACTCTGATGCTATTAGGTAAAACAGTGGGCTATTTGAACGCAGTCATTGCAAGACCGAGGCTGGCTATCCAGTAGCTAGCAATCAGCATGATAAGGGAGATGACAGAGCTGATTCTTAATAAGACAGAGCAGGACCGCATGAGATGGCACCGTGCTGTTGAGCATGGCCAGCAGTATGAAAGTATGACTTGTTGGTTCCTAGAATTCTCCATTTGGTGTGCTTGGATGGTTGGTGATACAGGTAGCTGAAACCATAGAAACTGAGACTTTTGAATGATGGTTTACTGATTTGTTCTGTTAATAGAAGATGCTGATAAATGCTAGATATTATTGAAAAAAAACAATGCTTTCTAATATTCTGAGTGGCTGTTGTTTTGTAAAAGTTAGTGGCCCATATTTATTATATTCCCAGTCATAGGAATCCTCTAAGGTTTGGTCAGCTGTTTAATGTTTCCCTCTTTTGGAGACACTCACATGAAGATTCTGAGAACAACCATTCCCAAATCCTGTGTCTGTCACTAGGTGACCACCGTCCACAGTCGCTGTGTGTCTACACTTTCCTCTGGATGTAGTATTTAGGATTCCTTCTTTGCTTAACCCTAAATAGGTTATGGGCTTTTTTTTTATTAGCTTAGTAGAGATGAATAGCTTCCTTCCTTTCTTCATTCACAAGTACCTTTTTCTGTGAATGTATTCTAAATTCCTACCCTTCAACCAGAAGTTGGACTCGATACTGTTGTTACCTTTTTAGCTTTGTAACTTGATGGTTTTTCTCCCGATAATTAGCTGCATCTTTTTGCTTTATTTTGCTTTTCTTAACTGATTTGGCTTCCAATTTGTATTCTGATCCAAATTTGGTTACTAAGGATTTAGAGAAGAATTTTTCTTTAGAAAAGGCAAGTCCTTACTGCTGGCCAAACATAGTGGGGTAAGAAGGGTTACTGAGCCCTGGGAGGAAAGTAGATGCTATCCACTTAGGCTTGTCCACTTCCTCTTTGAGAACAGAAAATGGGGGGGGGGGCAAATGTACCCTTTCTTCTCTTATTAGTAATAAGTGTTGAGAGTCTTGGGTCCAATATATGGTGAAGAATAAAAGCTTATAGGCATATCTATATATACATATATGTATACATATGTATATATATGTATATGTATACTGTTCATTTTGTATGTCCATGTATATGTATGCACAGTGGTTCCTCAAATTATGATGTGGTTATAGTCTGATAACCCCACCGTGATGAAAAAAACCTACTAATGGGAAGTATGTTTAGTATATCTGTCTTACCAAAACCAACACTTAGCCTAACCTACCTAAAATGAGCTACAGTGTCCCCTGGTTGGCTGGAAGTCATCTAACAGCATCCATTTATCGCACACACAGTGGAGAACAGAGAGAGTGGTTGGGTGGACATAGGCTGACAGCATTGTAAAATTGAAACTCTGTAAGTTGAACCCCTGGTAATTTGGGGTCTCTCTGTCAATACCCATTTCCTCTCAGAGTAGTCATACACATACTGTGCTGGTTTCTATTTAGAGTTTCATAGTTGATGTCAGCCAGAAAGGAAGAAATAGTTCCTATCTGTGTGTGTGGTGAACACCTTCACTGTTGTTTTCAGGTGGCTGGGGCTCCCTTGGTGTGACTCAGTGTTCACTGCTAGGTTATACTCCCTTACTAAGGCAGGCCTGTCGAGAGTGGTCAGAAATCCACTGCTGTTACTCGGTTGGTCAACTCAGCTTTAATCCTACATGCTGTGTTGTGTAGTGTATGTGTGCGGGGTCCCATGATTGGTATTTCTTACTCTTGTGGTAAGCACAGTAGTGCAAACAGGTTGTGTTTTGTAGCATGCATCGTTCTAGAAGGCCCGCCTGTGTGTTTGATAGGAGGCTGTAAGCTTTGAAAAGTCAGACTTGG